AAAAAAAACAACAAAAGAGACCATCGAGCTCTTTGCCTCTCGCTGACAGCAATGCCTCAAAGCATGCGAAGACTGGCGAACCAGTTGCGATATACATAGATTACAAGCTTACCCAGCACTTAGCGAAAGGAGGCCAAAGGACAGTTGCTATAGCAAGAACTCCGTCCATTGCTCACATTATAAGGTGGAGATGCACTACGGCTCCCAGACAATGATGTACGTGCACCTAACCGTTACGTCCCAGTGAGCAACAGAGTGAGCTTAATCCACAAGCCTAGCGCGTGCATAGGACGCATCGCATCGGCCACGGTGGCATGCCTTGAGAGCGAAGATAGATTTAACGTATTTAAGCTTTTCCTGGTCTCGGGAGGCCGTCTCTAACAAGTATGTGCATAGAAAATGACTAATAAGGCACACGCTTGGAAATTACAGGATTTAATTAAAGCCTAAATGTTTTTTAAGTGTTTTTAGCGAGAAAATAATACGTCCAATGCGATAATTTTGGTATTTTAATATTCTTTTGGTGTTTTTAAACAATCCTTGTTGGTTGAAAACTCCGTATAAATTACTGAACGGCTCAGTTTGATAAAATATTTTGATAATTCCTGATTCGCCGGGTACGAGTAGGGCCTAAACTCCGTTCTATTTTCAAAGATATTGAAGTCGGATCTTTCTTCCTTATTTCAAGATAAAAATCTGTTGTTTGCTGCATTTAAAAAAAGGGAGGAAAACGTTGTTCAAAATTGACCCATCAAGAGTCCAATCGGAAGATCAGAAGTTGGACTTCCGCGTGTCTCCAAAGTTTCACATTTTTATTCTGTACATGTTTCACTTTCAGGGTATTAAAGTTTTATCTTCACGCTTGATTTCAAAAAAATAGTCGGTTTGTTGTGTGGGTTTTGAAACGGCATTCAAAGTTGGCTATCTTTAAAATAGGGAACTGGGAAACCGGGGAGTAGAGGCACCGGGCAAACCAGGGGAACGGTGGAACAAGAAAACAGGGGAACCAGTGCATGGAGTGGGGAAAGGAGAATTGGGAATTCCCCGTTGCCCCGTTCTCTAGTCCTCCCGGTCCCCCCATTCCTTTGCTCCCCGGTTTTCCGTTCCCCTGTCCCCGGTTTCCTATTTTAAAAGATAGCCCGATCAATTAATCAAACGCGTCGCGCGCCGAATTTTTATCGTTGTTTACTAGCAGCCAACGGGACGTTCAGCCCTACACAAGGTTACGTTCAGTCCTACACAACTTTATGTTCACAGATGCAACCCATACATCACATATGCATATTTCGTGAATAGATATTAATTATACCAATGCAGACAACAGTTAATGGAAGGGGGAACATTTCACAGCATAGAAAGTGTCGTTCTTTGTCGATACTACAGAAGACTTACCTTGAAGTTGTTTACCACTGTCTCTGATTGAATATGCAGTGATGATTTGAGTGACAGTTTTTACTGATATTGTCAACTCTTAGAACTGTCAACTCATTAGAACTGGCTAATCAAAACATACGCATTTATTCAGTAAACAACCTACTGGCGAAAAAGTGCGCGAATAGGCCAACGTAACGTTAAATGTATCGTTGAGTGGGGGTGAACGTAACGTTGAGCAGAGGTTAAAATCCCGTTGACTGGTAATAAACAACGATAAAAATTTGGCGCGCGACGCGTTTGATTGCAAATGGCAGTAAAAGGAATTTTCATTTCGTGGAAAAGAATATTTGTTTATGTCATGTGGAAGCTTTCGAGAATGTTACAATTTTTTAAAAACCAAAAGTTTTACTTTGCTGTCAGCTTTAATTTGAGACGGGAAAATGGCAGAAAACGCTGATATTAAGCCAGCAATTATATCCAACAATGAATTCGCAAGTGATGTGGCTTCCTCCAATTTTGATGTAAGCACTGAAGATTTTGCAAACGCAAGGGCAATGCCTTTAACAGAAGATGAGACGATGAGATACTGCAAGCATTGCGATTACCAAGCTCCAGATTGGCCGGTAAATTCATTTAGACGATTGTACATATAGTATGCATGCTTAGGAAATCATTTGGCATTTATAGACAGAGTAAAAATGTAAAATGCTAAAGTTAGGCACATATGGGTGCATTGTAAGCTAATCGGTTAACAAGAGACACTGACAAGTAGTTTTGTTAAGCTCTTGGCCTGCCATTGAAAATTTAAGCCTTTCAATATTGTCCTTCAATTTTAGTTGTTCGCGATTCATGTTCTCAAACCATCCCATGTGAAAAAAGTCGCAGAAGCTATGAAAGTCCGAGTTGCAATTGATCCTATTTTAATGTCCATCACCTGTGATGTACGTTTTTCAATGACAAATCTTTTTATGGTACTTCACATTACCCTCATTGACTGAGTGTGGTTTGGAATTGAAATTTTCACCATGCTTCAAACTTTGACACTCAGATAACCCTCTTTGATGGGATAAAAGATATATAACTTGTAACTTGTTCACTTGTTTAGGTATGCAATGTTACTTGCAGCGGTCATATACCTTGGAATGCCCATTTGATGGGTTCAAAGCATCGAAAGGTGAGCTGTCTGAATATAATAACAAGTTGTTTGAGAGTTGAGACCTGGATGGTTAGTTGTAAATTAAAGATGTTTTTTTGGTCTTATATTAAAACTTCTTACAATGAAAGAAAACATAGAATATATTGACACTGTAAACTCTTGTCCCCTTAGGCCATACAAGAGAACCAGGGTGGAGGTATGTAAAATATTCACAGTACTATAAATAGTGATGATGCATATGACTAAGGTGTATGAGTTGATATTGTAATAGTGCTACTACTCTTAGTTACAAAAAAAATTAGCTTGACCATGGTGAAACATGCAGACCTAATGTCTGCAAGCTCATTTGTTAGCTTGCCTGGTTAATACGGCAACTTTCACCATCACAATATACAACTTTATATATAAACATATAGAGTCCTTATAACCCTAGCTAGCTAGGCTTGCCAGCACTTCTCTAGCCATCTGAGAATTTGCAATGAGAAGAAAGCAATGCAAGTAAACTGGAAGTACATTGTGTGAGCTTTTGCCAAATAATGAATTTTCACAGGTGGACCAATTACAACTAGGATATCTGAAAACGATCACAATAGAAAACCTTATGAGAAAAATCCACAAAACAGGCAACTGCATCTGAAAAATGTTGAACCACCTGATGAAAATGATTTTAACAATTACCCAGATCCACTAATAGGTGAGTGGATTTTCTAATCGCTATTTGTCTTAATAAACTAAAAATGGATGACAATATATCCATGGACAATTTGTTGGAAACATTTAAACTTGCCAACAGTATGTGTTCCCAAAAGAGTGTAGCAAGCTTTTAAAAGTAGCAGTTTTTTTTAATTTTTGAATCACATGATTGAACAAATGATGATAATTATTAGATCTGTCATGTGTGGTGATAAATATATATATATATATATATATATATATATATATATATATATATATATATATATATATATTGCAACATTATAGGCTTGGAATATGTGTCAGAAACAGAAGGTCGTGGTATAATTCCATGGTATCATTGTTCATTATGTGATGTAAAATTTGATAACAATCTCAAGTTTGCTCATTTGATTGGTCAAAAACACCGAATTGCAGTTCTGGTATGTTTATATACATCATCATGTTGGAATTGCCTAATTGCATTTATTAGTAATACAAAATTTGTATGACGGTTTAATTAAAGAACTGTACAATTTGCTTAACCAATTTTAAAAAATCCCATGTAGCTTTCCAACCATTTCAAGGTATTTTGCACTGAATTTTGAAATTTAGAAAAACTGACGAAATTACGAAAATTACCTTAATTTTCTCTCAAATTTTGAAATTCATCAATTTAAAAAAACCCGTAATTTACCTCAGTAATTTTCCTCAATTCGGTTCACAATACCTCAAACTGTTGGAAACTACATGTAATTTGGTTTAACATGGGGCGAAAATGTTCAGAACTAAGCACGTGTTGCATTCTTTCATTAAAACAATACATTTGAACAAATAAAACCATACCAATTTTTTACAATTTCACAATTCGATTGATAATGGCTCGAAATGGTTCAAAACTAACTACAATTGCATTCTTTCATGAAAGCAATACATATCAACACATAAAATCATACTTTGTTGAATTTCAAAATTTCAGGCAAATCGGCAACGGGGGACGAAAGGAAAAATCGCATTTTCGTCATTTTTTTGAAGTCTCGAAATTCGGTTCAAAATACCTCAAAATGCTTCTATGCTGTTTTTGAAATTTTGAAATTCGATTGAAAATACCTCAAACTGCTTCAAAACTAAGTAAGAATTGCATTTCTTCATGAAAAGAATACATATGAACACATAGTCATAGAATCATACTTTCATGAATTTCAAAATTTCATGGAATCGGTAATGGGGAACATTGAAATGTGTTTATAGAAATTAAGCGTCCTCACTTGATCGTGGGATTAGATTCAAACACGATGAAACGCTCTGAAATAACTCCGATACTACTCGAGCTGGCGAGAAATTTGGAACAAGAGGAAGGCCGACAAGAAGTGAAAAAAAATTCCGGAAATACCAACCACATGGTCTGTTGAGATTTTTTCTATAACGAACTCTATGGTAGTGTCACTATGTTTACAGTAAAATTTCAAAATAGGTGATATACTATATATAATAGATAAACGTGGCAACTCTCAATTAGGTGAGGGTTGCGGCAAATATTCCTACAAATTTTTATTCAGATACGACTTTTAAAATTCGCATTCTCCAATTCACTTCTGATGGATGTTTTATGGTCTGTTCACTTGTAATGTTTATGAGCAGCATATCAACTAAACCAATGCGGTATACTGCTCTGTCAATATAATAGTTAAGAGACTACATTCCATATATCATAAGTGAATTGAATGGTGTGGACAAACTTTTTGTTAACGTAATTTTCTTGTTAGGTCGAGGGGCACAGCGGGGTAGAGGGGCAATCGAGGCACAACGCGAGGATTAACGAGGGGACGTGGTAACAGAGGGATGTCACACACTCAGGGAAGAGGGTATAACGTGGGTTCGTATCCAAACCAGCCTGGCCAAGGAGGACGCTCAACATATAACGAATCGCTGAGCAATTTCGCATACAATTCAAGTAATGTTGGTCCAGACTATGGCTTAAACTATCCACAAAGGTCAGTTTAGTGCAGGGCTTTTATAAATTGTTTTGCAACATCCCTTTTTCAGTGCTAGCACCTAGATAAACTTAATACCTTGGTAAACTGTTCTATTAGGAACAATATATTATTTATCTAGTGTCACTACAGGAGCAAACTTAACTAAACTAACTTTATACTGACACATGTAGCTCTATCAGTTTTAAACTATGCTAATCAAATGATATCATCCCTAATTAACAAATAAACCTTCTTATATCATCCAGCTATGAGACTGAACACATCCACCATGGTGGTAGTTCCTCTTATCATAGAGGTGGTGGACAGGCATATTCTGCTCAACCACACCCCAGTGGTCAAGTCTACCCCATGGCAAATACCAACAGGGCACCGAAAACCTTGGACACTCGTAAAGAACACCTTAAGGTATATTGAAATGATTACTGAAGTACACAGTCTGCTATGGTCAACAGTGAGCAATATTAAGAGTGGTTGAGACAAATTTCCAATCATTTTTCTAAATTTTGTTTTAGTCCGAAATCACAGCCAATTTAGCGGCCGCCCTTGGCGATTTGGTAAGTTGAAAATTGAATAAATTTTATTTACAGAGATGAGCGAAATTGAACTGATATGAATTTTGATGAAGCAGCGCTGGAGTGCTTGGAACAGTTTGTTAATTTGATATGATGTATTTTCCAGACAAAACTAGTTCACGACGAGGAAGATGCCTCAGTTGCTCTCCACGTTTCAAACGCTTTGACAGAATCGTTACTAAAGTATAGAATGAGTGGATTACAATGAATTGTCCATCATATGACTTCTACAGGAATCCATTTCGAAACCAAAGCTCAGACATATCCCTTGTGTCCCAGCTATGAGTCCAGGTGTGAGACAAATGTACTTGCTATAGTCAAACTTTGAAAAGTCGCCAAATGAATACTCAGCCTATCGCAGGCTGGAAAGAATTCCAATGGTATTAAACAGGGGCGTAGGAATGTGTACAGGATTGGGGACGGGCAACGTTGACTCAGCAAAAATTTTTGAAATTTGATTGCTTTAGATCCCCGGAAATGCCCATTTCTTTTTGGTTTAATTTATACTTCTTCAAAACAGCACAAGTCAAAAACGAATAAGTATAATTGTTAACCCTTCACTTTCGAGTGAAGTGCGCCAATATTTGCTGCCCATATGTATAAGTTGCGAGTCAACTGATCCGACAAAATTGGATAATCCTTTACCTACCAAAACAACTGTGAATGTAGAAAAATTTTAAACGTGGATATTGATACAATCATGCCGTGATTCATGCACATATATATGCATGTCACGGTTCTGGCATAACACTCACCCCGGAAGTTACATGTATACTATTGGAAATAACCACATGATATACGACAGTCCACAGGATATGAACGGAAAAGCCTTTAGGCTTTAAAGGACGTGGAAATGGTGATACGTCTATATATGGACATGCCACGCTATTTATTCGCCATTTTCACGTCCTCTTTGACGTTCACGTCCTCATCAGCTCCTGCTAAATCTGCCTATTGCTGAAGAGTGGCGAGTTTGTTACGATCAAATGCCGTTTTGTTTTTATACACACGTCGGTATGGCTTACAATATATTATTTGTTTGGCACTGTTTATACATTGTGATTATTTGTGCTAGCGGAAAAACAACAGCACAGATTGAAATCAAACGAGAAAGATATGATAAATTTATTCCTCAAAACTTACATTTGGAACGTCAGAAATCTAAGCAAAAAGCGGAAAATATGTGTAAGAGTTTCAAAGCTGAATGTGAAAATGATGAATGTAAATATTGCCAGTGTATTGAAGAGGATAGCAACACATTTCTGCTGTTAACTCCTACCACAGGCAATTGTACTAAAGACCAAGATATCATACGTGATTCAGGTGATGATGTAATGACTAATGTTTATCTGTTAGTATTGCTATTTTGAGTTAAATATTGAGGTATTGAAGAGTTTTAGATTGGCGTTTACAGCTAGGGCAACCCGCTGTTCCACTTTTGGGGTTATGTGGTCATGTTATTTACTAATTTCAATACCTCAAACTCATTCTACGCTTCCTTAAATCTCAGCTAAGCGGGATTATCCATATTGTTACGAAATGCGCATATATAATGTATTTAGCATTTTAAAAAAATAGAAGGTCAATATCGATGAGGAAATTACTTCGGGAACATGTCACATAAAATGACGTGTAAAGTAAATATTATTATTATGACCCTTCGGAATCACAAAATTCCTTTTTCTGTCATGAGGTGACAGCCCATGGGATTTCCTCCCAAACAATAATACTGTCGTACAAAGTATATATATATATATATATATATATATATATATATATATATATATATATATATATATATATATATATATATATATATATATATATATATATATATATATATATATGTATTCACCTTCTAGTACCAAATGAAAATTTTTTTCTTCGAAATCAAAATTACGGTAAATGTCTTACGGTAAATGGAAATCGGACTGAAAAAGTTTCTGGAACGAATTGCAGCTCGTCTCTAAATATGCGTTGGATATGGTTAAATGAAACGGGAAAAATCCAACTTATGAATGTTATGTCACTCCAGTGTCTTGAATTTGTCAAGTCTTTGTCTACATGTTCGCAAGAAGGAAGATGGGTTAGCCATTCAGTAGTTATGAAGCAATGTGATAGAACCAATCTGCATCAGCAAATAACACTGAAGACTGTGACAAATTATATATTTACCAAAATGTGCAGCGGCCAAACGAATTTTTACCTTCAAATCGATGAACGCAGTAAGAGAGCAATAAGTAAGACACACACCGCGGGACAGACTTGGAAAAACACGGATGAACATCTGAACTGGAAAACAACTATTTACAGAGGTAAGCATTGTATGTATACGTGCTGATATGCAGGGTTTATATATAAGCACGCGACAAATTTGGAGACAAGGGAAATAAAGATCTGAACTGGGAAAAAAGTCAGAACTGATTGTATATGCTTTATATGCATGGTTTTAAAGAGCAGAGTACTCAATCTTGCATATTCGGTAAAATACAATTTTTCTCTAAAAGTTTTTTCTTTAAAAATCAGAATTACCTTAAGATTTGAGTTGTCGACTTAGCAAACAATTTTTTCTATTTTCTATACCTCGAGAGATCGAAAGCTTCCTTCTAATTATTTGATATCCATTTCGATAGGTTGTTACCGTTTTCAAAACCAAAATTTCATGCTTTATCTGGACAAAGACAATTGCTCTAAGCCATGTACTCGAAATTTTTCTGCCCCAATCTTCTCTGAGAACTCGCAATGTAGCATTATATGGTCGAAATCTACCATCATGCGGAGTGATATGATGTGGCAGAAAGTTACGAAAATGACAAACAAGGAACCTATTCTCGTCAACAAAGTTTCAAAAGATCCTAGAATGTTAATGGTAAGAGTCATTAAAGGAAAATATAAATTTGTAATGGCAAGATAAATTATATAATCAAATGCTCATTATAAGTAACATTTTTTGGTTTGTTAGTGGCTGATTCGTTTTTATTTTTTCATAATTATACATCATGCTGCAGTTTTACACTCGCTAAAAACCCGCAACAATGACGATAGTTATATATTCCAACGAACTACTAATAATAGAAACGGGCTTAGCTCTTCTCTTTATGCCACGTGAATACGCTTGACGTGTCCTTTAAAGTGAACTCAATTCTATTAAACCTAGCTATACCGAGCTCAATAATTGCTTCTACAATTATTCATAGATCCAAGAAGAATCATTTGAAATCTTCAACAATTCAATTTCCTGTAAAAGTAAAACCCACGAGTCGAAAGGAGAGAATCACTGTTTGCTTCTCAAGTTCAAAAAATTGGTGGAACAGAATGTGAGTTCAATCCCGCACTGCGTTTCTGACGAATGCAGTCAATTTAAGTACTGTAATTTGGGTAAAACGCATGTAGTCATGTATAAATGCATGACTGAATAACTCTCGCGACATTCCCGCGCGCGTGTTTGGATCAAACCATCCAAACACGGTAACCATTCAGAATTTGTTTCATCTTCGGTGGTGCATTTTCTTTCTGGATGGTCATGGATGGCTGCTGTTTTTTGCTTAGACATTTTCCGAAGCATATTACATGCAGATTTATTCATATTTAGATACAGTTTAAAACTGATTACAATTCTGTTTTCTTTTTCGTAAATCGAAGAGGACAACAGAAAAAACCACGGCGATATTATCAACGACAACAGCAAAAGTGGCAGACACCACAGTGATATTAAAACCTGGAACAGGTGAAAAAAGTGTACTGGTCACTATCGTTATTACGGTCTCAGTCTCTGTGCTCATTATCGTTCTGGTGCTTGTCGTGGCCTATATTTATCGAAAAAGGTATCTAATTATCACTCCACGCATTCATGCACAAGAAAGCATCACAAGTTGCTAATTAATTGTAATTAAAGAAAAACAAACGTTAGATCTTCGAAACCAACGGTAAAAGCTAGTGAACCACGCCCGTGAAAATTGTGTCTGCCGTGAAAAATGCGATAACAAGACGTGCTTACATATAATTGAAGTCAATAGGTATATTTATTTTTTTTTCGCGGTCCTAATTCATATTTTAGCGTTTCCCGCAATCTAATTGGCTACGCGAGCAGTCCTTCGGCCTCGGGCTGTTTTTGAGACCTTGGGAAATATTTCCCTATACGAACCTCCAATCTGGTAAATAACATATATATATTGCATGATGGGGCAGGATGTCGAGTTGGGTTCATTACTACCGTTATCAGTTTACAAAAAACCCCATCCGAAACACTTGGTATATTATATCTGTTTTGATCCACACAGCTTCGTTGTAAATTTGAATATTTTTCAGTGTTATTTTCTGCGGTTATAAAAGAGAAATTTGAAAGCTGTTCGAGCTTCGGAAGAACCGCCCTCAAATTCACTATTAAAAATAAATAGTCATGGATCTTATAATCTATATATTCGTTTTTCTTTAAATAGATTTGTAAAAAACAGTAACAGAGAAAATTCAGGTAATTATCCTTCTTCCTTCACGGTTGATCCCGGGATTTATAGTTTACACGTCATATTTTGGGTATCACGTTTTCAGTTTGGCTCACGTCGTTGAGTTTCGTTTTTATAATTTTGTACATTTTGCATTTGTACCTAACAAACTCTTCTGCTGAATTTCCTTCATATTAAACAATCATGGAGTGTGTCTGTCATGGCAAGTTTTAAACTTAAAAGTAGCAAATAGCAATAAGTAAACCAGCAATTGCTACAGCCTTTCTCACGAAAACAAATGTATTAATTCGCTATAACCCACCACGTAACAAGGACTTTATGTAATTTTGGGGGGTAAATTCGTTACGTGAATGAGTTGTTAGTTATTCTGAAAGAATTATTGAAAGCACTCAAAATGGCGACTATTCGTCATCGACATGGTGGGGCAAAAAACAAGAGATGTAAAGAGATCTCTTCATCCTCCATAATAATTGCTAGCCGGGATAACATTCAACCCTAGTCCATTCTCTAAACTCACAATGTTGTATTAACGTAGCAGAAATGAAAAATATTTCCTTTTATATAGCAGATCAAAATACTTCACCGGTTGTTGAAGAGTTGCCAGAAATGCAAAACCTTTCTAACAACCAAGCAACTCCGATAGAATCTGAAATTTATGTTATACCAAGAGCAGAACAAGAATACCTGTATAAAAACACTAACCAGAGAATATCGTGTGCGCAATCCCAAGGTCCTGAGTACGAGAATCCAGGGAGCCCCAAATACGAATCTCCTGAAATCCACCCGAACCATCAATACGAGTATCCTTCTCTCGGTGCGACAGGAAAGAAAGATGTCGGTGTGAAGGACGGCGAGTATTTTCCACTTAGAAGGCCGCTATTTAAGAATGACGAAGATGATCTGTCCGGTTATACATCTCTTTTAAAACTGAATAGTTCACAAGGTCACAAGTAGGGAGCAACGTGATTGTTTACAGTGCGTATTTATAAGCAACCACCTTTTTTAAGGATTTTCATAATTAATTTTAAACATCGTTGATGAGCAATAACATTTTCAATCTATAAAAAATCTTTTATGAAGTTATTAAAGCAGCATTGGTATTAAAGGTACAGCTGCATGCTTACATGAGCCCGGTTACCTCAAACTAAACGAACAGTGATTGAAAGTCTTTATGAACAAGTTCTTGCTACTGTTGAGATGATTACACCACTACCACGATGATGATCAACCTCGTTTCCAGGTTACTCATACTGCTCAAATGTGGGCGGAATGGAAACCGTTGGAACAAGTTGGGATCATGTTATGTTATATGCATTTAAATACTTCAAAATCAAAATCGCGGCCAATTAAATGGGAACATGCTCCACAGTTCATTGTCTGATGAAAATCTTATAACTGTATGAGTGCGGCATATTTTTGAGATCTATATATTTCGGTTCTCACTTCTCAGTGGTTGAGATATTCTTTACATCCTATCACATTGGCAACCTTGTCTTGTGGGATCCTTTACTTCAACAAAACGATAGTTAGCTGAGGGTACCTAAATATCGAGGCAGGATTCAAGTCAGGACTCAAGTCTGGACTCGAGCCAGGACTCGAGTAAGGACTCGAGGTCAGGACTCGAGCCAAGGACTCGAGCCGAGTTTAATCGCTTTAATTTCATATACGGCTCAACATTAGGCGTTAAGTATTTCAGCACAAAACTCAGAAAAAGTAAGAAGCACTGGCTTCAATTTCCCCCCTGGATTATCATTCCAGTTTGTTTACAGTTCAATGGTTCTTCCCGTGTGCGGACAAATTTTAAGCGCTTTTGTTCATTCGTGCCAGAATAAAGTGCCACGAATACCATTTTTTGAATTCACAATTTTTAAATCGCTAAATGAATTCAAAAACAGATGCAAAACTTCTAGTTAGTCAGCAACATTGTATTGGTCGCATAGCGTTAGAAAGGCTAATTCTTTTACCATTACGGTGCATGCACCGTTAAATCGTAAAAATTTGCAAGTTAAAACAATGGTTA